ACGCGGAGCGTGCCGAAAAGTTCACTTTTCGTCACAGCGTGATGAAAATACTATTTCATCTATAGAAATGAAAAATTACCGTGATTGCCCTACGGGGCTAGCGCACTGCGGAGGTGGGCAGGCTTAGCTTTGGGAAGCTAAGCAGCGCTGAGTGTGGTCACTAGATGGATGGGTGACCGCGCGGGAACACCTCAGGAAAGAAACATTACTTGGAAAAACTGAAAAGAGCATTTGGGAAAAACAAATATGCGGAAAAACGGGATAAAGGAATAAGAAACCGTAAAAACCAAAAAGTATACGGTGAAATGGAATAAATAAATAAAATTACCGTGATTTTCGTTTCAAAACGCCCATTAGGCTAATACGAAATGAATTCAAACAAAAATTAATAAAGAAAAAATGAAGTTGCATCTATATAGATGAAAAATGACTGTCATATTTATTTGCAAATTGTGACGGTCATAGAGGAGGGGGAGGGGAATGTGACAGCCGTCATAGTGACGCACTTGCATCTCTAGTCATAAAGTAGCATAAGTAATGATGGCTCGCTCTCCGTTGGTCGAGTGTGAGAAGACTGGAGACGGCCGTCATCCATTGATTAAAGTAGCTCTACCCTTACGGTAAATTCAACGATTATTGAAAACTGCAAAAAATTGCAGAAAACTCAATTAGATTCGGAATTCTAATTTTTTTCTCAATTTAAAGATCGTTTTGGTTTTTCAACGAATAAATATTTAAAAATCAGGATTTAACCCAGTGTCTTATGTGAAAATCAACATTTCCATTGTAATCAAAGATTAGAATCTGAATTTTTTTTCATTAGATGTGAAAAAATCAAGAATTTTTTTGACACCTCATAAAAAATTATCCGCCGTTTTGTAAACAAGTTTTATTATTTATTTATAAGAGGGAAATGTTTGAAAAAATATCAATATTTTGCGAAATTTCATTTAGATAATACTGACTGGGTATGAACTTTTTTCAAATTTTTTCCATGCAATTTAGTTGAAAAATTTAAAAAATTAAAATATCCAAAAGTACAGCGTAGCTCGGCCGAAGGGCAGAGTTACTTTAAGGCTTGCTCAGCTGATTTCGGTGTTTTCATATAAAAAAATTCACTGTTTGTGTGAAAAAATACAAAAAAAGCAAATTTAGTCATGTAAGAGGCGAATTAAAAGAAAAAGCTCGTAATTGTTATGCCACATATTTTTCCGAAAATTTTGAAAAAAAAATTCATCGTAGCTCAAAAATTGGAGGTCCTGGACTGTTTTTGGCATTTTAAGCGTTTTCGGGCAAACGAACAATAAAAAAAAATTTTTTGCACTAATTATTCGTTTTCAGATCTATATAATCGATCTTCAACGTATGAAAAGTCTCACTCCAATAACTCACGACTTTTAAAACTCATAGTAGTCTCCCCTTAACAAATTGCTGCGTTATTCTACTGAACTTTTTCATTCGCGTCCCCATCGTTATTCAACAACTACCATTTACCAACGATTGCTGACACAATCCTCGATTTGACGATGTGAAATTGTAAGAACCTATTGAACGAGGTAAAGAGGGTAACCTGCAACATTAATTACTTTCAAATGGCGCAATATTATCAGTCCGCCGAAGCGTGCGCACACCATACCACTGCACTTGCCGGCATACATGGCACCCAGAGAAAGTGTTTTACCTTCAGCGCCTGAGACAGTCACCGGGAGGCGGTCAGCTTGATCGGCAGTCCTCTTCAATCGATAATACTAGAAACAAGTGTTTGCGAAATACAACTGAAGGAATAATGAAATTCAAAATCGCTGCGTTTGGCCATCATTGCGAGCATCAGTCATAAATTACAAACGTTTTAATGAAGTTTATGTGTTCAATTTGTTATCAGTGAGTGACCGACGTGAAGACAATTACTAACGATGGAACATACTCAGACATTGTGATTAATTCAGCATTTTTTTTCGTCTCTTAAATTGCACAATCAACTTTTTACCGGTAATCATTCCTCTTTCTATATTTCTTCATGCTCTATAGTTATAGAACTATTAGTATCGACTATTATCATTATTAACTATTGCTACTAATTATTGTCATCAATCATTGTTATTAATTATCATTAACAATTATTATTATTGACTGTTTAGGTAGTAAAAAATTTATATGAGAAATTTAGCGAATTCGATGGAAAATGCTATTGGATTTCTATAGGATTTTTCTATCGGATTTTTGGGCGATTGTATTGAAAAATTCAGCAGATTATCTGCGCGTTTTTTTTTTAAAGGTCCAATGGAAAATATTCTATAAGGAAAAGCAATAGAATTCGATTTTTCTATAGAACTCATTTTATTGAGATATTTTCTCTGGAAATTCCTCGGTTCAAATTTTCCGAGTTTTCTTTGTTTGATTTTTTCAATGAAAATGCAAGAAAAATAGAGTGGAAAAATTGGAAGAATTCATGCCAGAGAATCGCCATAGAAAATGTATCAATAGAAAGGTTCAATTCTAGCTATTGTTTCTATAGAATACTTTCACTGAAGATTTTCTATGATAAAACGCGTAGTCAAGCTGCGAAATTATTCAATAGAATCAGCGAAAAACTAATAGAATTTTCAATAGAAGTTCAATAGAAATGCAATAGAATTTTTTATCGAATTCGATGATTTAATAACTAATAGAGCTATTAGTTTTTGGCTGATTCTATTGAAAAATTCCGCCATTTGAACGTTTCTTGTCAATAGAAAAATTTGATGGAAAATATTCTATAGGGAAAATGAATAGAAGTCAATTTTTCTATACAACGTATTCTATTGAGATATTTTCTATGGAAATTCCTCGGCGCTAAATTTCTAAATTTATTTCGTTTGGTTTCTTCAATGAAAATACAAGGAAAATGGAGTGGAAAAATTTGAATAATTCATGTCAGAGAATCGCTATAGAAAATGGCTCAATAGAAAAGTTCAATTCTATCCATTTTTTGCTTTAAATATTTGTTTTATAAAATACTTTTGCTGGAGATTTTCTATGAGAAAAAACGTAGCGAAGCTACGAAATTCTTCAATAGAATCGGCCAAAAACTAATAGCATTTTCAATAGAAGTTCAATAGAAATCCAATGGAATATTTTATCGAATAGTTATAGGTCTTTGGCCGATTCTATAGAAAAATTTCGCAACTTATCTCTGCGTTTTTTTTTCAATAGAAATATTCAATGGAGAATATTCTATAGAAAAAAATAAACAGAATTCGAATTTTCTATAGAACTTATTCTATTGAGATATTTTCTATATTTTTTTGTTTCATCTTTTTAATGTGGGAAGAGAAGACGAATAAAGTGGAAAAACCTTGGAAACTTCATGTAGAATAATTCCTATAGACAATGTCTCAATAGCAAAAGTTCTATAGAAAGATGAAATCCTGCTGATTTTTTCTATAAAATAGTTTCGATTGGAGATTTTGTATGGAAAAACGGACAGTAGAACTGCGGAATTCTTAGATTGAATCGCCCAAAGACGAATAGAATTTTCAATAGAAGTTCAATAGGAATCCAAAAGAATTTTCTGGCAAATTCGCTAGGTTTTTCCATGCTATTCAAATTGCTGAAAGCAACTATTCATTTTTTTTCAGAAAAAATGCTGCTGACGATAGCGTTTTGGTTGCTAGTCGGGGTTCTCGTATTATGGGCACTGTTGGACCCATTCAGCAGAGTATCACGTGCTCTGTGGGAGGTTCTCGTGCCCATAATAAATCCAGCGCCAGTTGATCTGAGATCGAAGTTCGGGGAATGGGCAGGTAATACGTCAGAATTAAAGATCGATTCTATCCATCAATCGGGCTTTTGTAAGAGGAATTTGAAAGTTCTCAATTACGCGTGAGAGAATTTAATAGAAAAACCTCATTTTCTTCAATAAATTCTATTGAATTTCTGTTGGAAGTCCATAAGAATTATATTGGAGTGCTATTCGAATTCTATAGAAAATTTTATTTGTTTTGTTCGCGCCAATTTCATTGAAGATTATGCAATTTTACCTTGACATTTTGTTCAGAGATATATGATTTTTTTAAAAATCTGTAGATTTCGATTTTTCGATAGAAATTGTTGGTCATTAATATTTTCATTTTTGCCGTTGTATTTTCATTTGTTTCTCATAATAAAATTCGGGAAAAAAAAACTTGGAAAAAATTCGATCAGAATACATTGTATAACAAAATCAACTTCTATAGACATTTTTTCAATAGTCAGATATTGAAAAAATGTCTATAGAAGTTGATTTTTCTATACAATTTATTCTGTTGTAATTTCCTCCAAGTTTTTTTCTCGAATTTTCATTTTTCTATAGACAGATATCTAAGGAATGTCTATAGAAGTTCTAAAATAGACAAACAGAAAATACAATAATCAACTTTTATAGACATTTTTTTAAATATCTGTCTATAGAAAAATTTCTATAGAGATGGATTTTTCATTTTCGATTTGTCTATTTAAAATATCTGTCTATAGAAAAAATTATTTCTATATACATTTAAAAAATCCAACTCTATAGACATTTTTCTACGGACAGATATTTAAAAAAATCTCTATAAAGGTTGATTATTGTATTTTCCGTTTGTCTATTTTAGAACTTCTATAGACATTCTTTAGATATCTGCCTATAGAAAAATGAAAATTCGAGAAAAAACTTGGAGGAAATTCGAACAGAATAAATTGTATAGAAAAATCAACTTCTATAGACATTTTTTCTATAGCCAAATATTTATTCTAAAAAGCACGGAGAAGTGGCAGAATTTTGAATATAACTGATTTTTTAATAAAATTCTAGTAGAAATTCATTAGAATAAAAAATTCTAGGTTTGTTTATTAAGTTCTTTGGACGTAATATTCAATGTTAAATCGTGATATTGAAAATTTTGATGGCTTTTCGCAGTTGTAACTGGATCTACCGATGGAATCGGCAAGGCTTATGCCAGGGAGCTCGCCTCTCGGGGTGTCAATCTCGTATTGATCAGCAGGACATTGGAGAGACTTGAAAAAACTAGGGAGGAGATTCTCAGTATTAATGATCAGGTTGAAATTAAAATTGTAACTGCAGATTTCAGCAAAGGGAGGGAGGTCTTCAAGAGGATCGAGCATGAATTGAAAGATATTCCTATTGGAATTTTAGGTAATTTTACGTATGATAAATCTGTTACTGATTTTTTTTGCGATTCACGCAAAAATCACTGAATGGACTTCAATGGGATTTTCGTTGCTATTTAGTTTGGGGTCCACGTTTTAGTATTGGCTATAGATAATCTAGAGTTTAGGTGGTGGGGCGTTAAACCATTTTACCGCTTCGCTACTGAAATGATATGCAAGGAAAAAATCCGCTCCTTTGCGTATTTAAAAAATAAAAATGTTCAATAAAAAATATTCCTTGGAAATCATCTATAGAATCTGATTATTCCACACAACTTATTCTATGAAGATATTTTCTATAGAAATTTCTCTGTCGAGGTTTCCTAAATTTTGGTGTCTGATTTTTCTAGTGATACATTAAAAAAATGAATTTATCTAGAAAACATTTCAGTGCATTAAATTGTACAGAAAGATTAAATTCGATCGACTTTTTTTTTGAAGAAAGGTTTCCTTTAAAAAAAAGGCTGAGATAAGTGTGTCAATCTCCGTGAAATTTGTCAATAGAATGGGCGAAAACCTTCTAGAGTTTCCCATAAAATGTTCTCGCTTTTTCTATTAAATTCTTCCCTGCTTGATGTTATATCTTCCCTGCATAATATTATATTTCTAGTCAACAATGTTGGAAAGCAGTATTCATATCCGTGGAAATAATCTATAGAATCTGATTATTCCACACAACTTATTCTATGAAGATATGTTCTATGGAAATTTCTCTGTCGAGATTTCCTGAATTTTGGTGTCTGATTTTTCTAGTGATACATTTAAAAAATGAATTTATCTAGAAAACATTTCAGTGCATTAAATTGTACAGAAAGATTAAATTCGATCGACTTTTTTTTGAAGAAAGGTTTCCTTTAAGAAAAACGCTGAGATAAGTGTGTCAATCTCCGTGAAATTTGTCAATAGAATGGGCGAAAACCTTCTGGAGTTTCCAATAAAATGTTCTCGCTTTTTCTATTAAATTCTTCCCTGCTTAATATTATATTTCTAGTCAACAATGTTGGAAAGCAGTATTCATATCCTTGGAAATAATCTATAGAATCTGATTATTCCACACAACTTATTCTATGAAGATATTTTCTATAGAAATTTCTCTGTCGAGATTTCCTGAATTTTGGTGTCTGATTTTTCTAGTGATACATTAAAAAAATTAATTTATGTAGAAAACATTTCAATGCATTAAGTTGTACAGAAAGATTAAATTCGATCGACTTTTTTTTGAAGAAAGGTTTCCTTTAAGAAAAACGCTGAGATAAGTGTGTCAATCTCCGTGAAATTTGTCAATAGAATGGGCGAAAACCTTCTGGAGTTTCCAATAAAATGTTCTCGCTTTTTCTATTAAATTCTTCCCTGCTTAATATTATATTTCTAGTCAACAATGTTGGAAAGCAGTATTCATATCCAATGGTAGTCGGGGAAGTACCTGAAGATGAACTTTGGGACATAATAAACGTAAACGTGGGAGCAACGACGTTAATGACAAGGCTGGTGATACCAGGTATGCAAAAACGTGGAAAAGGCGCCATTGTCAATGTATCCTCAGGCTCGGAGTTACAGCCACTGCCGCTGATGACAGTTTACGCTGCCACCAAGGTTTACCTGAGGAGTTTCTCCGAGGCCCTGAGGGCAGAGTACGAACAATTCGGCATTACCATTCAACATCTCGCCCCGTTGTTCGTTAACACGAAGATGAATGCATTCAGCGATCGATTGCAGGTGAAAATAGTCATCATAAAACTATTTGAATTTAATTGTGAAAATGCATTACTCATGATTGCAAACAGGTTTTTTATTCTCAGTTGGGGAATCACGGTTTGGTTTCTTGGGGAAAAAAATGTTGAGAGATCAGGATTTGAGGATATCCAAGTATTTTTTACAGTTCAGACTATAGATTCAAACATTTTCAATCATAAAATTAAAATCATCAATTAAATTGCGGGAGAAAATTCAAGAATTTCTCACGTAAAAAATTGCAAAAAAATCATGAATTCAGCGTCGTTCACATAACATTTTGCACAGAATTATTATTTTCTTTAACATTAGTTGTTTCCTAAATAAATAATTGAAATTGTTTAAACTTTCGGAAATATTATTTTTTTAGACATCAAATTGATTTCTGGCAAACTTCTGAATGTAAATAAATTTATTACGAGTCCGAACAAATGATTTCTATAGTGGAAAATTAATTTTTAGAGTTCATTTATAGAAATTCTTCGTAATTTAAAACATATTTTCAATTATTGTAATCAGTTTTAATAATTTCATAATTTTGTTTATTGTGATAATTTAATAATTTAATGATTATTTTATTAGTTTATAATAATTTTTGAATTATTTCAGCTTTGTTCGAACGATTGATAAAATACTTTCTCAATTTAATTTTTTTCTTTTCTTTTGACTTACTGATTTTTTTTTAGATTTTTAAAATGATTTCGAACTTTTCAAAATCAAGATTCAATTTCAGACCTGTAAAGTTGAACTAATAAAATCATTGTAAAATGTTCGGAAACCTAGGGTCCAGTGGGGCTCCAATGAAAGCTCCGATGTTCAAATACAAATGTAGAAAAACATTTCACACTTTAGTGAACACTACCCTATAGATGCGACCATTTTCAATCATCAAATTTGTCAGTTAAATTGCGTGAGAAAAATTTGAAAAAAACCATGGATATTCAGTGTCATTTAAATAACAATTTGCCTAGAACTATTATTTTTTTAAACACTCATTTTTTATAAAAAAATAATTGAAATTGTTTAAACTTTCGGAAACCTCATTTTGATCGAGTTTTCAATTTTCTAATTTTGGTTGAAAATGGTCTAAAGTGTTATGGAACGTGAAGAAATGATGTTTTTAGGGTCATGTCTGTATGTATGTATCTGACAATTTGAGTTTTTGGTGATTAATTTTTAGAAAATTTAACATAAATACGGTGAAATTTGTCGATAAAAATTTGAAATTTTGGCTCATTGTAGCTATTATTGAGCTCAACTTTGGCGCACTGTTTCAGCCCGATCGGTCCAGTAGTTCCTGAGATATAACAACTTCTTTAAATTTCGTTTTTCCTCAATATCTCAAAAACTACTGCGACGATTTCAATTTTTTTTCAAAATACTCGTCTCGGCAGCCACTATCTGCATCAATCAGAATATATAATTGATAATTTTTTAAATGAATTCCCTCTTTGCTGAGCAAGAAATTAATCAAAGTGAATATTAATTTCAAGTTGATAAAATCATTGGAATCCATTTGTGAAAATGCATTACTCAAGCTCGCAAACAGGTTTTTTATTCTCAGATCGGTAATGATAAATGAATTTTATCCTTTCTATGCCTCAGGTGTCCAGCGTCTTCGTCCCAGATGCAACGACTTACGCAAGAAATGCTGTCGTAACCCTTGGGAAAATTAATTCCAGCACAGGATACTGGGCGCATGGAATTCAAAATATATTCGCTCTCATCCCACCAGTCTGGATGCGCACAAAAGTAGGAAGATTCATGAACGAAACATTCCGAAACGATTACGTGAATCAGAAGAGCATGTGAATATCAGTAGCAAAGTGGTAAAAGCAGATAAGTGCATTTTTTTTCGAAATTCGTAATACTGTTACTACCGTTTGAAAATTAATATTCCAATGTGATTCACGCAAAAATTTTCAATTGTTTTAAAATGCACTGATCTCCTTCTACCACTTCGCTACTGATATGTAAATATCAGTATAACAAATTAAACAATAAGTCAAATCAGTGATATCTGTAAATTTTCTTATTTTTCTTCCAACACTGAAGTGTTTTTTTACATCTGTACATTCATTACTCGATATTAATTCTTTTTCTTTGTATTTAATTTAATATACAACATTCTTAATAAATATATTTAGTGCCGATTCATCTAAGTCTCTTCTCCTATCCCAGTTGATAACAAAAGAGAAACATAAATGATCCTTCAATATTCAATATTTTTCATAGAAATAATCAGCCCCCTCCTTCAATTCTCATAGCACCTGCCTCGAGAAATCGCACATTCACGTGATTTATTTAACACAAATTTACAATTCTAACTAAATGCTAAATTATTCTTGCATTCAGTAGCGACGCAGTAAACCGAGTGAGTCGATATAGACTATTGGCCAGTTTTTGACGAATATCTCGGAATCTAAAAGAGATAGAAAATTTTTTGTCATGACCTTTTTTGTAACCCTCAATTCTCTCTACCGAAAAGGTCATGAGAAAAATTTTGGTATCTCTCTTAGCTTCCGAGATATTCATCAAAAACTGGTCAGAAGTAAAAAACTACTTGATTACCCGATTTACCGCTTCGCTACTGAATTTTACTTACAAATACCAGACGATTTCCATTTTCTTGTTTAAGTTAACGTAGATGTATGTCGCTTTTTAAAACTAAACTGACGGCTTTGCCATTATTCGTCAGTTTTTCGTTCATTACTATCATAGATATTGATAGTACTACTATCAGTACAATTTCCAATAATTATCAATACAATTATCAATAGACTGTTGATAGTACTACTAGCAATGGGATGTTGTCAAGGGGCCTCGATGACATTGTGTCCTCATTTCCCACGATTTTTCCGCCCTGAGAAATGAGTTTGTACTTTCCGAATTAATATTACCCAGTTTTCTCATTCATTCGCGTTGATTTTGAAGTAACAATAATATGAGACATTGACAGGAACGACTTGGACATATATTCGAATATAATAGAAAGTCACATGCATTAGGCAATTTCAACTTCCAACGAAACAAAAAAGTGAATTTATGATACTTCATGAGTTGCAGAGAACAAAAATGTGCCCGTACTTTTCGAAAGTAATAGGGCTAGAAATAACAGTAATATTTGAGACTTGGATCTGTACGAAAGACAAAAAAAAAATGTGAAGAACTGTGAAAAGAGAGAAAAATGGATTTCATCCATTGTTTCAAATTATCAATGGTCTTCCAGCATTTTCTCTACATCATAAAAATAATCAAGCGGATGTTGTCGAGGTGCCTCGATGATGATAAATCTCCCTTTCTCACGATTTTGCATCTTGACAAGTGAGTTTGTACTTTCCGAATTAATATTACGCAGTTTTCTTATTCATTCGCGTTGATTTTGAAGTAACAATAATATGAGACATTGTCAGGAACGACTTGGACATATATTCGAATATAATAGAAAGTCACATGCATTAGGCAATTTCAACTTCCAACGAAACAAAAAAGTGAATTTATGATACTTCATGAGTTGCAGAGAACAAAAATGTGCCCGTACTTTTCGAAAGTAATAGGGCTAGAAATAACAGTAATATTTGAGACTTGGATCTGTACGAAAGACAAAAAAAAAATGTGAAGAACTGTGAAAAGAGAGAAAAATGGATTTCATCCATTGTTTCAAATTATCAATGGTCTTCCAGTATTTTCTCTACATCATAAAAATAATCAAGCGGATGTTGTCGAGGTGCCTCGATGATGATAAATCTCCCTTTCTCACGATTTTGCATCTTGAAAAGAGAGTTTGTACTTTCCGAATTAATATTACGCAGTTTTCTTATTCATTCGCGTTGATTTTGAAGTAACAATAATATGAGACATTGTCAGGAACGACTTGGACATATATTCGAATATAATAGAAAGTCACATGCATTAGGCAATTTCAACTTCCAACGAAACAAAAAAGTGAATTTATGATACTTCATGAGTTACAGAGAACAAAAATGTGCCCGTACTTTTCGAAAGTGATAGGGCTAGAAATAACAGTAATATTTGAGACTTGGATCTGTACGGAAGACAAAAAAAAATGTGAAGAACTGTGAAAAGAGAGAAAAATGGATTTCATCTATTGTTTCAAATTATCAATCGTCTTCCAGCATTTTCTCTACATCATAAAAATAATCAAGCGGATGTTGTCGAGGTGCCTCGATGATGATAAATCTCCCTTTCTCACGATTTTGCACCTTGACAAGTGAGTTTGTACTTTCCGAATTAATATTACGCAGTTTTCTTATTCATTCGCGTTGATTTTGAAGTAACAATAATATGAGACATTGTCAGGAACGACTTGGACATATATTCGAATATAATAGAAAGTCACATGCATTAGGCAATTTCAACTTCCAACGAAACAAAAAAGTGAATTTATGATACTTCATGAGTTGCAGAGAACAAAAATGTGCCCGTACTTTTCGAAAGTAATAGGGCTAGAAATAACAGTAATATTTGAGACTTGGATCTGTACGAAAGACAAAAAAAAAATGTGAAGAACTGTGAAAAGAGAGAAAAATGGATTTCATCCATTGTTTCAAATTATCAATGGTCTTCCAGTATTTTCTCTACATCATAAAAATAATCAAGCGGATGTTGTCGAGGTGCCTCGATGATGATAAATCTCCCTTTCTCACAATTTTGCATCTTGAAAAGAGAGTTTGTACTTTCCGAATTAATATTACGCAGTTTTCTTATTCATTCGCGTTGATTTTGAAGTAACAATAATATGAGACATTGTCAGGAACGACTTGGACATATATTCGAATATAATAGAAAGTCACATGCATTAGGCAATTTCAACTTCCAACGAAACAAAAAAGTGAATTTATGATACTTCATGAGTTGCAGAGAACAAAAATGTGCCCGTACTTTTCGAAAGTAATAGGGCTAGAAATAACAGTAATATTTGAGACTTGGATCTGTACGAAAGACAAAAAAAAATGTGAAGAACTGTGAAAAGAGAGAAAAATGGATTTCATCCATTGTTTCAAATTATCAATGGTCTTCCAGTATTTTCTCTACATCATAAAAATAATCAAGCGGATGTTGTCGAGGTGCCTCGATGATGATAAATCTCCCTTTCTCACGATTTTGCATCTTGACAAGTGAGTTTGTACTTTCCGAATTAATATTACGCAGTTTTCTCATTCATTCGCGTTGATTTTGAAGTAACAATAATATGAGACATTGACAGGAACGACTTGGACATATATTCGAATATAATAGAAAGTCACATGCATTAGGCAATTTCAACTTCCAACGAAGTAAAAAAGTGAATTTATGATACTTCATGAGTATCAGAGAACAAAAATGTGCTCGAACTTTTAAAAACTGAGAGGACTTGAAATAACAGTAACATTTGAGACTTTGATCAGCACTTAATTTGTGCGAGCATTCGGATCTATTAACAATTCTGGTCGCACGAAACAAAAAAATTGTGAACAATGGAAAGTAAGAAAAACGATTTTCTACGATTGTTTTACATTGTCAATCGCCTTTCACCATTTTTATAGACTTTTCTAAATAATTAATGATTCCGTCGAAGTGCCTCGATGACATTGGCAATAAATCTCTCATTTTTCAAGATTTTTTCGCAGTGACAAATGAGTTTGTACTTTCCAAATTAACATTACCCAGTTTTCTCATTCATTCTCATTAACTTTGAAGTAACAATCATATGAGACATTGACAGGAACGACTCGTACACATATTTGAATATAATATAAAGTCATATGCATTAGGCAATTTCAACTTCCAACGAAGCAAAAAAGTGAATTTATGATACTTCATAAGTATCAGAGAACAAAAATGTGCTCGAACTTTTGAAAACTGAGAGGACTTGAAATAATAGTAACAGTTGAGGCTTTGACCAGTGCTAAATTGGTGCACAACTAAAATTTGTGAACTACTGTGAAAAGTAAGAAAAATTATTTTCAACGTTTGTTATAAATTACCAATCGCCTTTCACCATTTTTCCTGACCTCTCTGAATAATCAATAAAAAATTGTGACATTAAATTTGTGCGAGCATTTGAGTCTATTACCAATTCTTGTCGCAGGAAACAAAAATTGTGAATTGTGAAAAATGAGGAAAATGACTTTCAACGAATGTCTGAAATTATCAATCGCTCTGCACTTCTCTCCTTTACATCTAACAAGCGGAAAAGCATCATTTGAAATATTGTGACGTCAACAATTATTTACTTTAATCAACATTTTCCCCGTCATTTCAATCGCGAAAGAACAGATTCCATCAAAGACAACGAATGTACAACAGTGACGACTAGCGCGACAGCTCCTGGGCATTTTGACATCATTAAAAAAATAATTGAATTCCATTTCGACGATAGAATCCAAAAACTCGATCAAAAATATATAGTGTATGATTTATATTCAATCTTATAGGAGCAACATTTTCTTTTTTTTTCTACCGAGAAAATTAATATCATCACCAACATGAGTATATCAATCGTGGAAGTTTCGCAAAGGATCAATAAAAAAAAGTAGAAAAACAAAGGGGATTAATCCTTGTGTGCTTTTGTATTACAGTCGACGTCAAGTCTAGGAAAGACTCGTTATGTTTATCGCTCATCATCAGGAGGTATTTGAGTTTCATTGTGTGGTAGAAAAAAAACGTAAGATTCGGTCTCATAACCAAAATTACTTTCGACTTTCCACTTTATCACGTCTGAAAAAATTTCATTGACAAACCCAGTGAATCTATTCGATTTTTTATTTGTTTCGAAAAATATAGAACGATTCGATTTTTTATTTGTTTCGAAAAATATAGAAAATGGAAAATATTGTGTACACAAAAATTATAAATTCGATTTTTGAATGGAAAAAGTTGTACAGAAAAATAAAATTCTGATTTTTTCTATAGAAATAATTTCTACTGGATATTTTTTGTCAACAAACGCGTAGCAAAACTGCAGTAAATTCCAATAGAATTTTATTTTTCGATATAACTTATTCAATTGAAATATTTTCTACAGAAATTCATCGACTCCGATTTTCTAAATTCATTTGATTACTTTTTGAAAATAAAAATAGAAGAAATTGGAGCGGAAAAAATGGGAAAACTCATGTCCAGGAATTCCTAAAGAAAATATCTCAATGGAAAAAGTTGTATAGAAAAATCAAATTGGGATTTTTTCGATAGAAAAGTTTCTAGTGGATATTTTTTATTATTAAAAGACGTAGTAAAGCTGAAGGAAAATCCAATAGAAGTTCAATAGAATTGAATTTTTCGATACAATTTATTCTATTGAGATATTTTCTATAGAAATACCTCGGTTCAAATTTTCAATTTTTTGTTTGATTTAAAAAAATGAAAATAGAAGAAAAATAGGAAAACTCGAGTCGAGGAATTCCTACAAAAAATGTCTCAATGGAAAAAGTTGTATCGAAAGATGAAATACCAATTTTTTCTACAGAATATTTTCTACTAAAAAACGCCTAGCAAAACTCCAGCAATTTTCAGTACAAATTCAATAAAAATCCGTTGGATTTTTCTATACAATTCACTAGGTTTCTCTATGAAATTTTCTCGTGTTTGATGCTTGATCGCAGTTTTGAACTGGTGTTTCAATTCTATTCACAACAGTTACATAAACTCACCGCAAATAATCTGAGCTTCCGTTTTACCATCAATACTCATTGTTACTGCTTGTTGGGGAAGGGAGAGGGGTTATTGCGTATGACGAATTCGATCTTAAGATTTTCTTTTGTTGTCGTTCCAGGCTTTAGTCCTGCACTTGGGGCATTTGGCTGAACATCACGATGCGTACATTCTATTGATCTCGTGTTGATAGCGTTCTTGCACTGCTTTTCTCTTCAGTTTGAAGGCTGCTGTGACGAGACCCATGTCTGGCGACCACTGCTCTGCGCACAGTTTCACAGCCCCCGGGATCTCGAACCTCTGTAGTTGGGCTGCAAATGAAAATTGAAGCGTAACAATATGATCCTTTTATTTTTCTTGATTAAGGCCCGAGTGTACTATCTTTCGAATGTTATCAGGATTTTTTTATCTTTCATAATCCAAAATTGTCAATTGAGTGGTGCATCATGAGTAGAAATTCCCAAAAATTATGATAGAATGATAAAAAAAAAGAAAAAATTCTGAACTTTTTCAAAGAGCGCTTTTAATTGAGATTCAGAATGAGTTGAAAAAAGTGGAAATTACAAACATCTGATTTGCTGTGGCAAATTATCTATTAGCTGTCATTTTCCATGGTGGATAACAAAACACTAACTCCTCATGGGAAGTGACAGCTAGGTATCTCAAGTTTTAAAACAGTGGTATGTAGTCATCTGCCATTTTTATGTGATAAAAGTGTGATTAAAAAATTCTCCAAAATATTACAACTTTTTTCAAAGAGCCTTTTCCGTAATAAATGTCTCTGTGCAGTGTGGGAAAAGATTTACGAAATCAGTCTTCCCCCTGCATGATATTGGGTGACAGGCCGCCATTTGTCACCGTAAATCAGATACATTTTTTAATTTCTTGTTATTCAACTTATTCTGAATATAAATCAAATTGAATTGCGGCAAATAGTCGTTTTTTTTCTTTTATTCTCCCCTGAGAATAATAAGATTAAATTCAGTGGTCTGAACTCACATTTCTTAGACTGCTCGATTAACTCTTGCAACACAGCTTTCTCAATCACAGGATTTTCACAGAGCTCCTCGAGACTGGCATTGGTAATGCCAAGGTTAATAGCAATCTCATCGAGAAGTCGAGGATTTGGCACTACAAGTGCCACTGTGTACGCTTTATGCGCATCACCGTATACACAAATATTTTCAACCAGTGGACAGGTTTTTAATTCAGCTTCAACCTTGCCAAGAGAAACATACTCGCCAAGCTGGAGCTTCACCAAGTCTTTTTTACGATCTGAAAAAAGAAAACGTCATCTTCAAAATCGCTCAAAGGGACATGGAAACAATTTTTAAGCCATTATTCAAGAAATTCAGGGGCCAAATGGTAAAACGGTTCAAATCGACTTTGACTATTGATGAATTTTCAATGACTATCTCGTAATCTAAGGCAGATAGAAGAATTTTTGTGAATATATTTTTTGCAGAGCGAATTGAGAGCCACAAAAAAGGTCTTTACGAATATTTTGCTATCTCCATTAGATTCGGAGATATTCAGCAATTTCCCACCTGTTTTTAGTCATTAATTAAATTTTAATTAACGGCGATCGATAGGGCTCAACAATACCCACATTTGCAAAAAAGGATTAAATGGCATCGACTCATTAGCGAACAGTGAAAGAAAAGCTCTGTCACATACAAATTTTCAGACTTTTTGGATTACAGTGGGTTGAAAAAAATCAAAAAAATCCAAAACTTGAATTTAAGGTGTTTCGGTTAAAAAGTAAAAATAATGAAAACAAGTGGCCCATGACACAGATGTAAATCGAGTATAGTTTTTTTGCTAATAAATTGGCAATTTGTTTCCGAATGGATTAATTGAATTAAAACAAAAAAGTGCATATTCGGTTTTTTGTTATTAATTCCAGATTAGTAGGGAAGTTCAACCTTGATTTGACGAGGAAACGCCTTAAAGACGACAAAAAAACCCCAGAATTACAAAGAATAAACTCTCACCAATAATTTTGATGCAGCCATCAGGATGTACCTCCCCAATGTCCCCAGACCTGAACCACTGTTTTCCATCCTTGAAGAAAAAATCTTCCTGAGTCTTCTCCGGAATCTTGTAGTACCCCTGCGACACATTTTCCCCACCAATGATGATCTCCCCCCTGGGATAGGGGCTGTCAGTGACCCTGTAACTGGCTTCCTCCCAATTCTCCAATCTGATGTCACAGCCAATAACAGGTGCACCAACTCTCCCCGTACTTCTGTCGTAATAATCCATAACAGTTGCTGATGAGCACGTTTCAGTCAGTCCATATCCCTGAGTAAGAGTCACACAGAGGCAAATTTTCACCTGAGTGTGAGTCTCAGGAGTGAGTGGAGCGCCCCCAGAGAGAATAAGCCGAATTTTCCCCCCAAGTACTTGTTTAGCCGAGCCAAAAATGAAACGATCGAAGAGTGGTGTGCTGTACCCCCTCTTCGTCCACTTGAGTTTGTACTGATAAGCAAAATTGAATATTGCTTGGCTCAGTGCTCCCGATTTCTTGACTTTCTCGTTGATCCCCTTGGAAATTCTGTCCAGAATGAGGGGAACAGCAGTCATGCAAGTTGGCTTGAGCACGGCAGCATCGCCTTTGCATCCCCTCATTATTTTACTGCTTGAATCAATCATGGTGAGTGGTGAACTGTAGCCAATGGGAATTCCAGCAAGAATAGCGACACTCTCAGCCAATAATTCAAAGACATGTGCAAGAGGTAAAAATCCAAAGAATATATCGTCCTCGAGGGTTGTTATGCTGCTGCAGAAGGCTTTCAGAGTTGACAACATGTTCTTGTGCGACAGAAGAACGCCCTTTGGAATTCCAGTGGAGCCAGACGTGTACATAATAATGGCAATATCCTCGGCCTTGGGGGGAACAGACTCCAGAGCCGACGTGTTTCCCCTCTTGATGACGTCTGAGAATGGAATGAGACTGACGCCCTCTTTAAATCCAACGGTCTCAGAAGGCACCAACTGATCCTCCATGTAGATGATATTCTTCACTGCTGGTGCCAATGACAGAAGCCTCTTGAATTTTGACAGCAACTCGTGGCTCGTTATTACAGTGTCAACTTCAGTTTCGTTGATTCCGTGGGCAATGGCTTCATCACCGAGAGTTGCGTAAATTGTTACAACAGACAGATCCTGCTTGAAGCATGCATGCGCTGCAATCATCCATTCTGCCCTTGTCTCGGCAAATATTACGATGTTCTTGCGCTTTGTCATACCGAGCTCACGGAGACCACGGCCGAACGATGCAGCCAATCGCTCGACTTCTGTGTAACTTTTCCACTTGTACTCGCCCATCTTGTACTGCAGAACATAAACAAATCAATTATTACGGCCTTGGTAGTGAATCTCAATGACTTCGTAAGGAAAACTGTTTTTTCCTTGGTATTGATTGGGTGTTTTGCTTCTGAATGCACTGACAGAAAAATTTATTTTATCCAGAGAATTTTATTTGAAGCAACTATCATTTTGTTGTTAATTTTCAAATAAATATGATTTCGTAGTGAATCTCGGTCATCTCTTCTTGAGATGCATTTGATTGGGAGAAATTGAACTTCTTTAGAATTGAAGTTCCTTTTATTTGTCGCAGTAATGAGGGTATTTGATTTCTTTCTAGCCAAAAGTTTGCCAACTCCAGAAATTCGTGGCTCCGGTACGTTTGGTCCAAAATCTTTTGGTCCAATCTCTTTTCGTCCAACGTCAGTTCGTCCAATGAAGTTTTTGGTCCAATTTTATTTCGTCCAATCATTCTTTAGTCCAATATTTTCTTTGTCCAATGTAATTTTGGTCCAAAAAAATGCGGATTATTTTGGGAAATGGGAAATTATGTAGGGATTTTTTTTCAACATTTCAAGTAATTGAAACAATTTTAATGGTAGACATTTGGAACATTTAAAATTTGGAAAACACTCTTTTTTAACAATGACATTTCTGGCATACAATTTTAAGGGAAAAAAAAGAAACAAAAACGAAAATTGCAGCATTTGGAACATTTAAAATTTTGAAAATACTCTTTTTTAACAATGACATTTCATTGGTTTTGAGTTTCGCGGGTTTGTGTTTGTATTTACCTGTGTTTATGGTGTGTTTATGCCGTTTAATCTGGGCCGAATTGGACGAAATGATTTTTAGACCTAGTGATTTTGGACGAATTGTTTTTGGACCAAATGACCCCTATCCAAATTCGTTGGTTTAATCAAAAATCAAAATTATTCTCACGGCTAAATACGTTGTTATCGCAATCAACACGATCATACGTTGTTTCAAGTAAATTATAATTGAAGTGAGCATTATATCTCAAGAACTACTGGACCGATCCGGCTGCAACAGCGCGCCAAAGTTGAGTTCAATAATAGCTACAATGATCCAAAATTTCCGATTTTTATCTACAAATTTCCCCGTATTTAAGTTCAATTTTCTAAAAATTAATCACCAAAAACCCAAGTTGTCGGATACGTGCACACAGACATGGCCCTAAAAACATCATTTCTTCACGTTTCATAACATTCTAGACCATTTGCAATCAAAATTAGAAAATCGAAAAATCGGTCAACAACAGGGCTTCCATTCCGAAGCAAAAGACAAATAACGCATCAAGTGACGGTCACATGCCTTCCGACAGACAGACTTAACCCCCCGCTTGTTTTTTCCTTATTACTGACCTTTTTAAACACTCGGCCATTGGGCTGGACTTCGTTCTCCTCCGCGAGTATTTGCCTCGTCCCCAGGCATTTTTTGCCTCCGTGTGTTTCAGCGGCATAACGCAATACTTTCTCAAGTGTATCCACACTTTGTCGCTGAAGTTTAACGTGTATTGGTCCAGGATCATCAATATTTCTGTATGTTATTGAGTTGTCGTCCTTAGCGATTGGTTTGGCCTTGACTCGTCTCGACAATTTCCTCTTTTCCCAGGGACGTTGGAGAATTAAATACACGGGAAATGTTAGGAGATCGTAGACGTAAGACAGTGCCTTTATCGCTGTGATTGCTCCGCTCACCCAAAAACTCTCCATCTCACTGTGGACAGTATCAACGTTATTTATCGAGTGCTGAATGGCGACCAGAGAATAATTGAAAGTGTCGTCCCAAATAGCAAGCTACATAATCAACGAGTTTATGATTTATCATTGACATTACTGTATCATGCGTAATTGCGGCGAGGGGAAGAATCGGAAATTATCAAAATGTTGTGAGTAGCTGTCAAGAGTTTGGACTCTCCCAGTGAGAAGTCATTAGCTTTTGTTCAGTATGTAATCACAGCGAATTGATGATTAATAATAGGGAGCAAAAATAATGTTAATGGTGTTGAGTATTTTATTCGTCGATGTTATTTATCTACTGTTGAATGGAGAATTGAAACTATTGATTTAAATAGCAGCTGGAGTTTATTATCTAACATTGCGATTACTCGAATCATGCGGAATTACTGAGAAGGAATTTAAGGGGCTGAATTTACTAAAATGATGTGATTAGGGGTCAGGAGATTTGACTCTCCCAATGAGATTCCATTCATTTTTATTCAGTATTATAATCACAGCGAATTGATGATTAATAGGGAACAAAAATAATGTTAATAGTGTTGAGTATTTTATTCGTCGATGTTATTTATCTACTGTTGAATGGAGAATTGAAACTATTGATTTAAATAGCGACTGCATAATCAACGAGTTTAACATCTAACATTGCGATTACTCTAATCATGCGTAATTACTGAGAAGGAATTTAAGGGGCTGAATTTATTAAAATGATGTGATTAGGGGTCAGGAGTTTTGACTCTCCCAATGAGATTCCATTCATTTTTATTCAGTATTATAATCACAGCGAATTGATGATTAACAGGGAACAAAAATAATGATAATGGTGTTGTATTGTATTCGTCGATCTTATTTATCTACTGTTGAGTGGAGAATTGAAAATATTGCTTTAAAGTAGTCCCTACTACATAATCAACAAGTTTTGAATCCAAAATTCACACTACTCTAATCATGCATAATTGCAGCAAATAAATTAAAGAATCTGAAATTATTGAAATGTTGTGAGTCTTATCTTTCAATAAGATTCCACTAATGTTTATTCAGTATTATAATCACAGCGATCTGAAGATTAATAGGGAACAGAAATAATTTTAATGGTGTTGAGTATTTTATTTATCGATGTTATTTATTTATTGTTGAATGATAAATTTAAACTATTGTTCTAAATAGCAAACAACATAATTAACGAGTTTTGCATCTAACATTAACACTACTCTAATCATGCATAATTGCAGCAAAAAAAATGAAGAATCTGAAATTATCAAATGTAGTGAGTAGCTGTCAAGAGTTTGAACTCTCCTAATGAGCTGGCACGAATTTTTACTCAGTATTATAATTACAGCGAATGGATAAGTTATGAGAAACAAAAATAATATTAATAATATCCAAGAGTTGATAGATAAAAATATATAAATAAAAATATTATTAATATTCAAGATTTGTATTATTAAAAATCTTGAAATGATACATTGAGCCCTTCAAAGGCTTAATCTAATGTTGACATTACTCTAATCATGAATGAGTGAATTAAAGAGGCAGAATTTATCAAAATGTTTTGATGATCTGTCAAGAGTTTGGACTCTCCCAATGAAATTCCAATATTCCAATAAATTCCAATAATTTTTATTCAGTATTACAATTACAGCGAATGGATATCTATTGAGAAGCAAAAATAATGTTCTGCGATTCTTATTAACACTTCATATTAATTATAGCAATCAGACTGTTGAGCATTTCAATGCGTTGTTATCGACTTATGTAACTCCGTGCAGCAGACATGGATTATACAATCTCACAGCTTTAGTCAGGAATTTATCAGCATTGGATAAATAAAGATAGCAACTGAAGTATTTTCAAAAGCAAGTGTTCCTGAATTCTCTGGTAAATGCAACTCGTGTACAAGATTTTAAGGAAGATCTCAGTTGGCAGACAAGTCAGAAGGAGCCGTTAGGTATAATTAGCATGTGTGGTAGTTCGAAATAGTGCAAAGTGGCCAATTGCTAATTACAAGTTTCTACTGAAGCAGAATTAGCAGCAGTTGTTCTCAAGAGCATTCAACTACGCTGACGGAAAAAATTATTTTGAGATGTTTCTTTCTTGGAACAAGTATTATATACTTGAACCAATTTCAAATAAACAAGATCTTACGGTGAATGCCAATTATTTCTTCTTGAGATACATTTACTTGAATCAAATAAACCAGTCCTTGGCGTCGAGTCACATGTATTCACCACAAAAATGGAAAAGTTCTATTTTTTTTAACCTAATATAATCTCCAGTCGAGCAATTTTCTACTTTCATGAATTGATCAAAAATTCGGACCTAGGAGATGATTACATTGAGGAATGAATTGAATGTTGTTTTCTCGAATGAAGCCGATGTTTAAATTGAGCTTTCCGTACATCACATTGAACGAAATTTGTGATATCCAAGTTTGTGTTGAATTGCCGTAATCTGTGATTCTGTTATTGTAAACTTATGCGATTTTTTTAGTCAAGAAATATAAACTTCTTTCAACTCAACGACATCTTACTACAATCTCAAAGCTTTTTCCGCGTAACAATATTCATCCTGATTCGACATACGAACTGCTCACTTCAATTATAATTTACTTGGAACAACGTATGATCGTGTTGGTTGAGATAACAACGTATTTAGTCATGAGAATAATTTTGATTTTAGAGGAAACCAACGAATTTCTGGAGTTAGCAAACTTTTAACTAGAAAGAAATCAAATACTCTCATTATTGCGACAAATGAAAGGAACTTCAATTCTAGAGAAGTTCAATTTCTCCCAATCAAATGGATCTCAAGAAGAGATAACTGGTATTCACTATGAGATCACGTTTATTTGAAAATTAACAACAAATGATAGTTGGTTCAAATGAAATTCCCTTGATAAAATTAATTTTTTCCGTCAGCTTCAGGAGGTTGCAGAAATTTTAAATGCCAAAGCTTTTTGCACAGAGTTAAAACAGTAAATGACAGGAGTAAGTGACCCACATTACCAAGAATGGTCCAGTTCAACGTACAGTGAATGATTCTCTCTTCAGCGCTTTGTTTTATTACCTGCGACGTTTCACTTTAGGCGTTAGTTCCACCGTACAAACTTGATCAGACATGATGTCAAGGTATCAGGGAGAGAAAATAACAGTATAAACTTCTTCGGTATTCGCAACACGTGTTGTTCTCAGATCGTTGCCATGTAAAACGCTTTAGGAATTGAATGGCGATCCTCTCACGGCCGCGGTCAATGCGGTGACTGATTTTCGTATCTAGTGGTCAACTAGGCATAGGTGAGATCGTATGAGGGAAAATAATCGTAGCTCGTTATCGTACGCGGACTTTGGTCCAGTTTGATCTTGCAGCAATTTCGAGGATATACAGATACAATGCGTATGTATCGTATTGTCTTGTATTGGGCTGAGGGGAAAATTATTTTTACCGATACATTATTCACAATACAATACAAGACAATATATTATCTTCTTGTTGCAAGGAAAAAACGTGCAGATAATTGCATTTTCTAATCTCATTTATTTATTATGATTTTGAATTAATTCAAAATGTTATTTTTTAGCAAAACATTTTATTTTCGTAATTTTGCGTTCGAATGGAAGCTTTTTAATCGCTCAAATTTCAGTTTCCAATTTTTTGTGCGATTTTTAGTTGACGTCTGTATGTATGTATGTATGTGGTCTTTTTTCTATTTTTTTTTCTCAAAGTTTGAGGGATCAATCGAATTTCATAATTTTCTTTTCAGGAATACAGTGAAATTGGCACAAATATTATTTTCATCAATGTTATAACGTGTGAATATTTTTCATGATATTATGAATGAGTATTGAGGAATTCATGGTGTGCGAATGGAAACTTTGCAATCGTTTAAATTTACGTTTTGAATTTTTTGTGTTATATCGATCCAGTAGGATCCAAAAAGACCAAAAATGCAATTTGTGTGTTTCTTCAATTGTTCGCTAATGAATGGATGGAATTGAAACTTTATCTTTCAAATGTAGGATCTACTGAGCCCTATCCGTCGCCATTAATTAAAATTTAATTCATCGATTAGTTCTTTTAATTTTCGAATTTTTTCGAAAATCGGTTGTCCCACGATAAGTCAAAAAATGTTCTGGATTGATTGAACGATGGCTTGAAAAATTTGTTTGGATGTCCTTTTGACCGAGTTCGAAGATGAAGGCGACAGCAATAATCGTTATTTTGATTTATTTGAAAATTGTCAAAATATCATGCTTCAAATGAATTCAATCGTAGCTTAAAATGTCTGTTTTGATGCCATTAAGTAGAAGTTAAAAGATGATTACGATAGCTATATAGGTTGATTTGATTTTTATGATGATTGTTGAAAATTTCGAATTTTTCATGAATTTCCCTGAAAGTGAGCTTTCTGATGGTTTCTCCAAATGTGATGTTTCAAATTCATTCAAGTATGTATAAATAGAATTATTTTATTAACATTTTATCGAAGGGTTGAGGGAGAAGATGGATTTTTTATTATTCACGACGAAAGGCACGGGATTTTTAAATTTTCCATTATCCACTTCTAGAATACTGAAAAAGTAATTTGACTTTATTATTCACGGCTAAACTTGGAATTTTTGGTTTTCTATTATCCATTACTACGATAATGGAAAATCAATTTGGTTTCATCCTTCACCACGACAGAAATAGAAATTTTTTGTTTTTCATTTTCCATTGATATAATAATGAAAATAAATTTTGTGCCATTTTTGATTAAAAAATAATTTGTTTCTTTTTTCATGTTCATTTCTCATTAGTATCGCAATGAATAATACATTTCGTACTATTACTCATTACAAAAAAAATCATAATTCAATTTATTTCATCAACTATTAGGAAATCCTGGGGAAAATTAGAACAGCTTCCTATTTGTACGAAAAAATAGTTTGTAAGACTTCCCATACTATATCCTATAGGATTTCTTCATACGTGTAAGAATTTAATTTTTCATACAGATTCGAAAAAATTGATATTTTTCCAAAAAATCAATTTTTCAACGATCACTCAAAAAATAGTCATCAAAATGGAATTAGTCACGGCTCAAAAAATTGATAACAATACCCTCTTGATTCTATCAGAATATGATGTGGGTCGCACAATTCGTTGTTGAGTTACAGCACATTGTTTATGCGATTTGAAAGAAAAAATCGGTTTTTTCATGATTACTGAAATAATCATCAGTAATAGCACTTAAATCAGGGCTTGAAAAGTATATTTCAATGCCTTCTTAATCAAGTTGAAAAATGCTGAGAACAGCATCATTGCTTATCAATTTGCACAATACCGTCATGAGCTTTTTATATCAAAATCTCTATCTCTATTAAACTCAGTCACCAGTCTATTATGTTGAATACTTATTCATATTACTTCATGGTCCCAACTAACTTCTGACAGAACCTGGGTTAAACTGTGGCTAAATCCTGAATAAACCCTGATTAAATCCCGGCTATACGCTGACTAAACCTTGATTGAACCTTGATTAAACCCGGACTGAAAACAAATTCGAGTCTTGAGAGGGTCTGAATGTAGAATTATTTGACAGAACGAAATAATACGCAACGCTTTGATGACGTGAAAAAATAGCACAAGAGAAGAATGAAATAAGAATTTCAAAACAGAGAACCCATTCAGAAGCAAACTGTCGTTATTCCAATGAGATTATTCCATTTAGGAGTATTCATACCGAGAATAATTACAGAAATTCATGAAATAAGAAATGCCAATTTTGCTAATCTCATACTCGATAATTATTAATGAACAATTTTCTTCACGCATGTCAGATAGCTTGAGAAAAGTTTCTGCTTCTTTTTTTTTTTTAGTTTAAAAAATAATCATCAATTACAATGGCAGTTATAATTATTCAACCCTCAGACTTATCATTCAGAGACAAAGTAATCATTCAGTTGCGGTCAATGTCTAACGATTCCATCGGCGGACTTTGACGCCCTGTGCTGATCATCACTTGCAGGTCGATCTTCAAATAATCACTATCAAGGATCTCTGATAATAAAACTCCAGTAATTATTGAAGGTTTCCATAACTCGTTCACATGACCTTTGAAACACGGGACGAAGGAGTATTTCTTTTTTTTATGCGCGCATATTTTATGTTTGTTGAACATTGAACTTTGTCGGCAGATGGAAAGTAAAATTTAATGAGATTAAGAAGTGAAACTTTGCACGATCACGGCACTTGTATTTGATGTCACGTGTTTTTGTATTGACAATCAACCGAGTTGACCGACATCCCTCGACGTAGAAAATGTATCGACGTACCCAGTTGACTCACCCGTTTAACATCGTTAGAATAAAAAAATGGTACATGGCAATTTGTGAAGACTTTTTTGCAAAAAACAGTAAACATTGCATTCCTCGAAATATCAAGGGTAAGTGCACTTTAAAAATAAAATACTGAGATTAATATCGAAAAATGTTTTATAATTTGATGTGGATTTGAGTCTGCATGAATTCTGCAGTACGGTTCGATTAAATTCAAATATGGTTATGACATTCAGGGGCAGATGGAGATTTCAGTAGTGAAGCGGTAAAACGGTTCAAGTAGATTTCAGCTATTGGCCAGTTTTCAATAAATATCTCGAAATTTAAGGGAGATAGCAAAATGTTTGTCATAACCTTCTTTGTAGAGCGAATTTAGAGCTACAAAAAAGGTGATTACGATAATTTTGTTATCTCCCTTAGATTCGGAGATATTCCTCGAAAACTCAGCTAAGTCTAAGGGCCAAATCGACTTGAACAATTTTGTCGCTTCGCTAGTGATTTAACCCCTCACGTACGGGGTCCTTCTGTTTCCAAGTCTAATGAGGGCTCAATATTCACTGAGATTCGATAACTTCTAATGGATGAAGAATTATGGAACTCACATGTACATAATGAAAGCTCTCTCTAATGGATTTCGAACTAGCTAAAATTGTAATGAATGATTACAATTTAGGTTGACCTCATATGATTATTGAAAATTAATCGATTATTCTCTTTCCCCGTTCATATCTCCTAGAGGGTGTTATCATATTTCCTAGGGGATTCCTAGGGGGTGTTCACCCCTGGAAACAAATAAATGCTTTCAAATCAAATCGAATCAAATTGAGTCAGTTTAATTTCATTATCTGTCATAATTTCGAAAAGAGTCATGCATTTTCGCTTAGATCCACATGGCATATGAACGCCGTACTTGAGGGGTTAAAAAAAAGTTCAAATCATTTGTTTTTTCTACCTACAATTTGTCATTTTCCGCCACAGGTGGCGCAATCGGTGGTAGACAGCTAGCGTATTATTCATACAAATAGCATGTGTTAAACTTGCCAGCTCCAGAGAGAATAATATTTTCAAACTAGAAATATGGGTCATCACTCAAAAATAATATTCTCAAATTGGCAATTGTGTTTATCTGTGCAAGAGCGTAGGAGATTTAATTTCTTTCCATAAAATCGTGCAAAGCGAACTACACTTGAATCATGCTTTAAAACATATTGCTCATAAATCTAAAACTCTCAAAATTCTACAGTAAAATGGTATGACACACGATGCGACTCACAGTTTGTCTTCCACAATCATGGTGATCAGGTTTACTTAACCTTTCCTTTTCAAAAAAAATTTTTTTTCTTTGTCTATATCGCTGGTGACCTCTGTTGTTTTTTTTTCACTTGCCCACCAAGGGTTTCTTGATTCCCTCTGCAAGAAAAAATATAAATGATCCCGGTATCCATCGACTGATGGCCTTCGCTCTGAGATAAAAGCACGCGCAATGCGCTTCACCTCTCAATTGCGGAATCAAGTATTTGTCATTGGAAGAAACATTATTTATCGGAACAAAGGATTAAACTCTTTCTCAAGTGTTTTTTTCATCTCAGTCTACCGAGAATCAAGGAGAATAGTATTTTTTTCGTCTCTTGTGCGTAAAGTGAAATTTTACACACGCTCCGCGTCCGCAAAGTGCCACTTTCCACGCATCGTGACGAAATATATTTTTTTTTCATCACGCTGTGCAAAAAAGTAACTTTTTAGGCACGCTTCGTCCCTTCTCCACACATTGTGATGAAAAATATCGTTCGATACTCGTGGGAAAAGGGTTTTTTTGCTCGTGGGAGGTTCATAGCACAAGCCGAAGGCGAGTTACGATTGCGGAAAAACTTTTGGGCCAAAAACACTTTTTCGCCACTAGGGCCGATAAACCGCGATTTTAACCTCGCTTCGCTCGGTTAAATCGCGGTTTTCGGGCCTAATGACAAAAATTATTGTTCGACACGCGACCGTGGGAACTTTTTTACTTCATATGATTACAGAACTCGCCTTCGGCTCGTCCTGTAATCTCATATTCGCCAGAAAAGTTCCTCACGGCCTAGTGTCGAAATGTACTATTTATCACCTTGTCCGTAAAACAACGTTTTATGGACAGGGTGACGAGAAAGTGTTTTTCGTCACTCGGCCCGATAAACGGCGCTTACTCGGGCTCTGTCGAGAGGGGGTAAAGAGAGTTTACCGCGGCACTTGAATAATCGGTGCTCCAAGGAGGGTAAATGAGACGCTCGGTGCNACCCGTGGGAGACGTGTAGCGCTCGCCGAAGGCAAGTTCTACTCTCCCATGCATCAAAAAACGCTTTTCCCACGAGTGTCGAACCCTATGTTTCATCACAATGTATGAAAACTGGGATTTTGCGCACACGTGATAAAATATACTATTTCATTTTTCTTTTTTTCTTCGTTTTATAAGGAAAAGGACATCCTATTATTGAGGATCATGAGATATAAAATCGCCGATGAAACATGCATAACAGTTTCATTTGATAGTTTAAATGATAGAAACAGTATCGCGTTTGTCGCACATCTCGCACCGCTTAAGAAGTTCATTGTGATTCTCTTGACCAGTACACGTCTATATTTACATCATAGACCGAGGACGGAGTGTTGTGACTGTGCAGTATTCAATCCAGTCGACACAATTCTAATTGTAGATGACAAACTAAAGAACAAAACACGCACATTCTTTGATATTATGAAGAATTCCTTTGACGCCAATTTCAAATGACTCGCGAAGTCTCAAATTATATCGAAGAAATCATAATTTTTTAAATGGAAAGATCGTAGTGTTAAAAATTGTGGTTTGAAATTGTCGGTATGCTTTTTGAAAATTTTCATCACACTATAGTTTCACAGAAATTTCAAGAAGTTTCGGCATTGAAAATTCAGAATTTTATGGAATAATCGATGGAAACTGTGAATTTGAGTCCAATAGGATTTTCTGATTCTGAAAATCTGGGGAGAATGTTTACTCCGTTTATTGAACGGAAAAAATGTCTGGAAAAGTAATGAAAAATTCTGAAAAGTATTGAGACTTGGAATGATCTACATTTGAGCCCTCAAAAATGACGATTTATATGTAACTTTAGTAAGTGTCTGGAAATCTAGTGACTCTCAAGATGAAAAAATCTGCTGTTCTAGTAGGGAATACAATGTAATTTAGTACTATATATTCATGTTTTGATTGAAAATTGAAGTGAATTGGGGTATTCTCGTTTTTTGAAGCTCAAAAATTTGGAATTTGATTAAATTTTCCGTGAACTCAGAAATTTCATTATTTTTCTCCCTTAAATTGAATGAAATTCAATATCATTCCCCAGAAAATTTCTTCTCCACTTTAAAAATTTTTTTACGAAATTCTTGGAAATCTTAATCAAGTGATAGTTCCACTAGAAATTCAAGGAATTTTGTCTTCGAAAATTCACAATTTAATGAAGAAATCAATTTAAATTATAAATTTCTGTTCAATTATTCCATAGAAATTAATACAAATCATCGAAATTCAGAAATTTAAGTATATTCTAGAGTTTTTAATTAATTAAACAATTCAGCATAACTTGGTACTAAATGTTTTTATTTTCACTGAAAATTCGTGTAAAGAATAATTCTCGTTCTCCTGCTGTTGAAAAATTTGGAATTTAATTGAAATTTCAGTGAAATCTGAATTTTAATTATTTTTCCCCCCTAAATTAAATTTATATTGAATTGTAAACAATTTTTGACGAAACTTCCTGGAATTTTGTCTCCGGGAATTTACAATTTAATGAGGAAATCAATCCAAACTATAAATTCCATTTCAATTATTCCATAAAAATTGTTATAAGTCACAAAAATTCAGGTAAATATATCCTAAAATCTCAATCAATTGAGAATTCAGCGTAATTTGTTACTGAATATTCATGTTCTCATTGAAAATTCAATTAAGTACGAGAGTTCTCGGTCTTCTGCTACTAAAAAATGAGAAATTTCATGATTTTTCGCTCTAGAACGAGTTCAATGCTACTTTCATGAAAATTATTAGTCAACTATTCATGGAATGTCAATCATTTTCCGACACAGTTCCATCCACGGAATTCCAATCATTTTGACATAATGTGGCCTTACATAATAATACCATGTAACCACCGAGAATCACAACTGTCGCACATGAAAGTCTGATCAAAATAGATTATCTACTACGAGAATCGTAAAGCTGAGTCACATCGAAGGAGAAGTGATCTACACCGTTAGCAGGTATGAATTTGTAAGCAAAAGGAATCCACACGTTGGATGAACAGTATTGAATGACGAAAATCACTCGAAAATAAGTATAATAGAGACTGAGAATGTTGGCGTTGATCGGATGCACGTGGCGTTCAATGAGTGTATGTCAAGTCTTGGCACTGAACTTTGGACCCACCGATACAGCACGAATCCACTGTTTGTATCTCCTGATAATGATGCATACACAGAGAAAAAAATCAATGAAATTTGCAAGGAAAAGTCAGTCAAATTTACTGAACGATTTTTGGTAAAAATTCACTGCAAATGCGGGAAATTTATCCTTTTTTCTCGTATTTTTCGCCAACAGCTCACAGACTTTGCAGTTCATACGCGATAAGTTACGTCACAAGATGGAAAATTTAGCCTCTGGCCAACTTTAAGTCCTTGATTTCAAATGGAAATTTATAAAATGCAATTTCGTTCTTCGCACTAAAAGAAAATGTTACCCAATATTACGGACATTCTTGAGCTGAGAAAATTGCATAAATTGTTGATCAATCCACGATAGGTTTCAGACAAGAAATCGGTGCTCTTCAGCATAAACTACTTAGTACAATGCTGAATGGAAAATTATTTTTTTTCCGAAAAAACATTATACTCTCGAAACGATAGGAAAAGTTTGAGATGAGGAGATGGGGTTATTGCTTTCCTTCAAGCTTACACTGTTAGAAACTTATTCATGACATTCAAGTGAACACGCTTGAAATTTTTAACAACGACGAAGTTACATGAAATTCTGTAGAATTCTTCATTGACGAATCAGTTGATTTCTTGAATATTTAAGTAATTCTCAATTCTCAGGTCCATAGGGCACTGAAAAACCTTGACAATTTTGAAAATTCAGACAATAATTTCTCTGAATTTGCAATCTACTGAAAACTGAATTGTATGCGATATTCAATTTTCACGATGAGTTGGAACATTCAAAATTTCATTGAAAAATCAATGATCTTTCAACATGAAAAACCCAATTTTCTTGAATTTTCAAGATAAATGAGAAATTTAGTGAACGTTTTCATGTGAAATAGAATTCAAACTCACAACATTGAAAATTCAGAAGACATTGTGACTGCAATTACAAGAATTTATAGCAATGTATTCGATATTTCATGATAGCTTTTCGATTTAATGACATTATTTGTGACATAGATTCTATGTGACCGCCATATCCCATCTAAATAGCGGAAATAATGTGATGCTATTTAAATTATGATTAAAAAAATAGGACGTCACATGACTCTCGTATGACGTTCATGTTCACATCTCTAATTGAGAGTAAGTGACGGTCATATTTCAGGAATGTTCTTTGGTCTAAAGTAGATAATACATGACAATTAAATTGTTTTTTTTTCGAAAGAAGATAATATTCTCGAAACGATAAGAACTTTTTAAAATAAGAAGATGGGTTCATCGCTCTCTTTCAAACTCATTGCAATTGAGAGCAAGCGATGAAGAAATTTCAAGAATGTCTGGAGATTTTCCTTTGCATGACTTCTGTATTCATTAAATACGAAAGTCCCTGATTCGTGATTCATTGCGTCGAAGCTTTTAGTAGTTAACTATTTTCTCATCTCATGACACGAAAACAATTATTTCTTGAGTCGGGAAATTCTCACTTCATCGTTAAAGAGGTTTAGCCAGTCTCGGTAAATTATCGATTTGCAAAACGATGGATTATTTTTTATGAGGCGTCAAAAAAATTCTTGATTTTTTCACATCTAATGAAAAAAAAATTCAGATTTTAATCTTTGATTACAATGGAAATGTTGATTTTCACATAAGACACTGGGTTAAATCCTGATTTTTGAACATTTCTTCTTTGAAAAATCAAAACGATAGTTAAATTGAGAAAAAAAATTAGAATTCCGAATCTAATCGAGTTTTCTGCAATTTTTTTTGCAGTTTTCAATAATCTTTGAATTTGCCGTAAGGGTAGAGCTACTTTGACTGTTCATGTTCAGGTCATGAATTTCGTACATTGCTTGTTTCATTCTACGAAATTCTCGTCCCAAGCGTTTTTCACAAGAAATTATTTTCGTCATATTCGGTCTTTTTTCCTTTTAGTGCGATGACCTAATAGTCTCAAGGTCAAAACTGAAAAAAGTGAATCGTAACGGCCTCGCAGAGATGATCTTCATTCGATGAATTTATTATTCCGAAAAAATAATGACGATGATGATAATTATGATGATGATGATGTACGGTGATTTTAATTATAATTCATCGCATCTGCTATGAGCACTGCCCTAGAACACCGGAAATGAGCGAAGGCACAAGTGAAGAAGGGGAGGGCGAATAATTTCAAACACTGAGCCACATTACCCAATGATGTTTCTACATGCAGACCAACGGTCAACTGGCATTACTTTCCCGCTTGCTCGTTTATTAATCCCACTCACCCCTCCTACGTGACACTTCCACCATGGTGTTTTACCGAGTCGATCTTTGTACCGGGGTGTTGGGGATTATGTGCGTCAGTTATTGCTGGGAAATGATCTGTTGCACATTCCAGTTGAGAACAACTACCCTGTTTTTAATGAAAAAATTGCGGATCTACAAATTTTGTACTCAAGTTTAACGGATATAACATTAAGGTACATTCGAAGACAATAGCACTCAAAAGTTAGTCCCTACGGATTTCCAAAAAAAATTTTAATCACTTAAGGATTGACGCAAGCATCTTTTTTACAAGAGTAAATTTTTTTATGGTCAAATGCCATGAAACTTTGGCAAAACGTTATTTGAACTATTATAAAATGATCGATCTATCGCTCAGCTCTTCGTTATATTGTCAATATCGATTTTTTTGGTTTTTTATGTTTTAGTTGATATCGACAATATGACAAAGAGCTAAGCGATAGATCGATCATCTTATAATGGTTCAAATAACGTTTTGCCAAAGTTTCATGGCATTTGACCATAAAAAATTTTACTCTTGTGAAAAACTCCCGCCAAAATTGCTTAAGTCAATCCTTAATTTATTGCATTCTCATGAGTTACTGGGGTTTTCTATCCTAATATGTTATTGATTGAGAAACATGGGGACAATCGTAAGAAACCCCTATTTTCTAGGGATACACCTTAAGGAACTTCCGCAGTAAGTATATGAAAGTAGAAGGAAATGGACTGCAGAGCTGGAATTTTGAGAATATAATCTTTGAATGATTACAAATATCCTCCCGAAGTCCCAAAACCCTGAACCACGCAGATTGTTGAGGAGAAAATATGAAAAATGTGTCATCAACAGAGTCTTATGGCGCCACTTTTTCAAAAATCACAAAAAAATAATCGACAATGGAATAAAAATCCAAACGCTTCGCGAATAGAACCGTATATATTTCAGGAATATATCCCCACAATTTCATTAACAGTCACCACAGGGATTATTTGTAATTATTGAAAATGTAACGTCGGGATTTTAGTTACGTTAGAGGAAACTGATGGCTGAACATGGCAACGTTGAGGGAGGTTAGAGTGCGCGCGGCAGAGGCCATCGTGTGAACTCCACCAAGGCATATACTATAGATTCTATAGTACAGTATAGGATTTTATCGGGACGCAAGAATACCAACTGCGTCGAACAAAAATGCGTGCTTGTCAAATCTCTCATGAAAATTTTTATTTGTTAAAAAATTCGGATAAATAATATTTCGGAATAAAAATTATTTGGACTTGATTAATCATGAATAATAAGTGCAAAGAAGCCCAAACGACGAAATTTCAATACACCCGCGAACTTTTCATCATTTCATTATTTTTTTTTTCAAAGGATGCAGCGGAGTGTCGAAACCTATGATATTTTATGTCGCGCCGTGCAATAAGTCGAGTTTTGAGCAGGCTGCGCGAAGACATAAAATATTATAGAGCACTCGGTAATAAATTTCGTTTTCAACGAATGTGTAGTTTACAGGTCGAGCCGAAGGCGAGGTCTGTACAAACATTCGTTGAAAACGAAATTTGTGCCCTTGTACTCTAATGTACTATTCCTCCACCCCATAGTCCCAAAATTTACTGTGGAAATTCCTTAAAGAACAACGTAATTTAATGATGAATTCGGAGAGAGACGGAGAAAGAAATTGATCGGAATATTACAATGTTTGATTTCGCTCGCCGAATAACTCCTGATTGACGCAGCACGCGACTCATTGACCCAGGGACCCCAATTTGTCATCAATTACTGTCATCATCAACACGACAATATTTTCGTCCATTGTTTACATTCCGCGTGATGTTTTCATTCCGCATTTCCCTAGAATAATGATTGAATGATTGAGGATGGCTCACTAAACCCATGCAGTACTGCGGAAAAATGAGTTGTGAGAATATTAAGTGTTTCTGTATTCGAGTCTGTTTTAGTTTTCGGAAATTGAGATATACCCGACAATTATTCTAAAGGTTGCCCATCGCGCTTGGTGTTTGGAAAAGTAAAAATGTTTTTCCGCTTCACTAGTACTGTTAAAATAAATTGGCTGAATTTTCCGAAAAAAGACAGTGAATTCGATTTAAAGGGACACAAATCAATGGAATTGCAAGTTTCACTGCCAAATTCCCTTCAATTTTATGATAAGTTCATTAAAATTCTCAGAATTTCAGAAATTTTTGGAGCAATTCTCTGAAAATTCAAAGGAATGTGGAATTCAAGGAGAGATTTCTCTGAATTTCCCCGATTTTTCATTAATTTTTTCGGAATAATTAAACTGAAATTTACAGTTCTCACGGATTTTTCCATGAAATTATGAATTTTCAATGGCGAAATTCCTCGTAATTCCAGTGGAAATGTTATTTGCTAGAAAATTCCTAGGCCGTTACCAAAAAATTCAGTGTAAAATTTGTGACAGTGTAGAAAAAAATGTATCAATCCTTCCGACAAAATTTCAAACCAGCAACTTAAATTTCATTAAAAAACACAAATTATTCCCAACAGATGACTTATTTGTTCTCATGTTGAATGAAGTTGCCCTTTACGCAACGTTGCCGGAAACTCGCTAAACGCGCCCGTCTAGTCTAGAGAGAATTCCGTAACGCTGGAGCCTAAGTAATACAACGGGGAATCCCGCTGATCCCTATTTTTCTCCTCTCTAGGGACGCGCGTAGTGGGGGCATAGGGGTTCCCGTAATTCCACTCTCCTACTGTCCCTAAGGTGTCTTATACGAAGCCTCTACTGTATTTAAATTGATGTTTAATTTAATAATAATAAAAAAATTGATGAGTAATATTGGCAATTGACTTGTTCAAAATTTAACTCTAATTAAAAATTATGATTATGGCGATGTCTGAATAACGTTCTCCATTTTTGTCGCTATTTTTGCAATGATAGAGAAACAACCTTAATATGACGGTCTGATCCCGACATTGGCCACAATAGTCCAAGAATGCTCAAAATTAAGTGGATATCTTTCTACATTCACAGGATGAGAGAAAAAAAATGAGAATCCTTGTCAAGCCCTGACGTTGGCGAAGTGGGTCAAGCCCTACGAGTCGTAGCCACCGCGAGGTGGTTACGTCGTAACCAAAATAGAATTTAACCCCACGCAGTTAGACAGCCAAGATGAGAAAAGATATCTGATAATAAATTATTTGCTGAAAAATATGATAGGACAATCCCTCCACCATAATTGCGGTCTAAAGATTGTGCATAATCACTTGTCATATACGTGGAGCATAATAGTTTAATTTTTTTAAATAGTGAATTCAAAATGGGAATTGAAAAACCAGGTGAGTAACAAGGGTTATCGGTACGAAAAATTTTCAGGGAAATACCGAGTGAATTAGATAGAAAATTCTATTGGATTTCAACTGAAGTTCTGTTGAAAATTGTATTAGTTTTTGGCCGATTCTACTGAAGAATTTTATTTTATTTTATTTTATTTTAAAGATAAAATCAGTGGGATTTTTATACAACTTTTTCTATTGAGATACTTTCTATAGAAATTCCTCAACATGAATTTTCCAAGTTTTTTGTGCTCAATTTTTCTTCTCCTTCCATTAGCAGAAACAAACAAAAAAATTGATAATTTGAGCCAAGAAATTTCTATAGAAAATATCGCAATAGGATAATTTGTATAGAAAATTCGAACTCTACTGATTTTTTTCTATAGAATCCGCCAAAAACTAATCGAAATTTCAATAGAAATCGAATGGAATTTTCTAGCGAATTTGCTAGGTTTTTCTATTAAATTTTTTCACACGTGTAACAATCAAAAATATTGAATGGAAAACATGAAATGCAATAGAGTATCGTTTGGTGGATTGATTTCGTGGATCATTAGAAATAGATGGATTCCAGTAGTTATTAAATTCCTTGAATGTTGACTTACCAGTAACACAGGTTATTCCTCCACTGCTCAGTTCCCTTAGAGACCAGAACACCTTTCCAGCAATTGCCCAGAAATCCACAAGATTGTACTGGTGACTGTTGGGGAGAAAAATAATTATTCTCTCGCACCGCAAGGACTGTGCAAAATGAATGTGACCCATAAACGTTGTCGATTGAATAATCATTCCGTCTCATCAAAATTAAGGGTAACAATCAAAAATATTGAATTGAAAAGAAAAAAAGTCCTTTTGAGAATTGATGCTATGGGTCATCAAAAGCAGGATCACCACACACTGAAGACGACAAAATTTTTTGAGCAGTGCATTTTTACTTATATGAAAAAACTCGTAGCTTGAAAATTTTCAAGAGCAAAATATCTTGCACTAAAAAAAAAATTCTTCAAAAAATTTCGAGCTTCTCTTAATGGCGAGGATGATGTCTTGATGATAAGAAACCGATTTCTCATACCAAGTTGAACTGAATTAATTCATTTAATGGTTTTTTAGCCTCAATTATAAAATATTTAAATGGAAATGGAAAATTCGCCTGAATTGATTTGAAAACTCGTTTTCTTGATATGAACCAATTGCCCTCATCTTTCGCACAAATATAAAATTTCTTGGCGTAAGATTTCGTAGACAAACGTGGTGAATTCGTTAGAAAATTCCATGGGATTTCTATTAAATTCATATTGGAAATTATATTAGTCTTCCGCAGCTTTACTGCACGTTTTCAATAGAAAATAGAATCTAATCGAAACTGGTTTATTTCTATACAATTTTTTCTATCGAGACATTTCATATAACAATTTTTTGACATGAGTTTTCCAAGGTTTTCCACTCTATTGTGCTTTCCTGTCCATAAAAGAATAAGAAAAAACAAAAAAAATTAAATTTGAGCCGAGGAATTAGTGTAGAAGATATCTCAATACAATATGTGCATAGATAAATCTAATTCTATTGATTTTTTCTATAGAATCTTTTCCATTTTGTTTAAACATTTCTAGTAAAAAAAACCGTGCAGATAAGTTGCAGAATTTTGAATAAAATCGAGCGAAAACGAATAGAAACTCCAATAGCAATACAATAGAATTCCCTGGGTTTTTCTATAATATTTTTCGCACTTGCTCCCGTGTTCAGATCCCCTAGAGACACCGCAACCTCTCTTTAACGAGTTCAGAAATGCTCCTAAACCCACAAAACTCCTTATGACTGCAGTAGAGAAAAATAATATTCCCCAGTCCAAACCCAGATAATAATGTCAAGGTAATAAAAGTGCATCCGAACATTTCGTCTCAAATTCAAACCGTACATCTCACCGAAACAATCATTCCCTCACGTTATACGTCTCAACAATTTCCTAACCATTTTTCAGGATTCCCACCTTGCACTTCGGCCCCACGATGTCTCACAACAGAAATAAAAAACTCGCATTAAACATTTTCATCGAAAAAAAAGGCGCAGACAAGCTGTATAATTTTTCAATAAAATCGACCACAAACTAATAGAAACAACAGCAATCCATTAGAATTCCCTGGGGCTCACGATGAGCTGTTGATGAAATGGAGTAATTTTTTTTCAATAAAAAGTACAATTCTTCCCCCTTATGATGACCCTAGCCTGAGCTCAATTGATGAATATATTTATGAGTTATCAATATTTTTAAAAAAGTCTAAAGTGTCCATTTTACCCCACCCCCCCTAATTAAAATAAAAGTCTAAAGTGTCCGTTTTACCCCACTCTCCCCTACACATTACTATTTCACTCCTCCACACTTAAATACCCCCAAAATTGAATTTTCCGCTGACGAATACTTTGCTAGTTTCAACTTCATCCCTTCCATCACACGAAAAAATCATTCCCCACGTCCTACATCTCCACAACTTCCTAAACGATTTTTCCAACTCCCTACTTTGCACTTCGGTCCCACGACGCCTTAACCATAAATAAAAAAACTCACAAACAAATGTCCCTGGATCGCAGGTTATGCGCTGAGCGCAGTCGTTGAGCTGCTCTTTTTCGGCTACCCACGTGACAATTCAAGATGAAAAAGCTCCCCAATGCCTTCAGCTCTCCGGAGCAGTCCCCCGTACCACTGGCTCTCCGTATTTTCACTCAATTCTCAGAAGAATTCCGTCTGACTCACGAATCATCAAGTTGTGCAGTGGGATATCATGAGCGCGCGTCACTGCCCACTGAATGTTCGCCCCTATTATCGTTATTTATTCGTGTGCCATAATGTGGATGTCCGCGGAGGCTGGGACACTGTCTGGATTCGACGGATATTCTCCACTTTTTGAAGACGCGTTGACGCTGCGCGGAGGCCTCTACTCGGTACACAACCACGTGCTTCCTGTACACATGCACAGCAAGTGTTCGGGGGATTGCGTATCACTAGACGAGTATTTGGCGAATTCCACACACACACACACGCACGCTGTAGCAACGCACTCCCCGTCGATAATTGCACTCAATTTATTCCATCAATTCACCATTGAAACGCGAAAACCAAATGAGTTCAGTCGATTCAACTCGATCGCTTCAATTTTTTTACAACTCTATTTTCGCCCGTGGAAGCTCGATTTGTGGATGAAATGCGTCCGCTCTGTGAGGCTGTACACGAGAATCTGCAGGAGTGTGAGTTATGGGTGTGCGAGGAGCCTCGACAATGGTGAATTCTCATTCGTCGAGAGGAATTACGTATCGAGGGTATTTCCCCGTGCACTTGCGCAGATTAGAAACTAGGATTTTGGTTTTGAATGATTTTAATTTCATTTCATTTCGGAATTTCGCTTCTTATTTTGCTGCCGTCTGATTCGAGTCGGTGTAACAGTTCGTTCCCCTCTGCGAATATTTTTTTTATTTATCTGGTTTGCAATTCAATGGGATTGATTGCAGGGGTATTATGATCTGACGATCTCGCCGGGACAAAAAATGGAGAATGATCATTGGACATGTCATGACGGGAGTGAGGATTGCATCATAGTGATAACGATAATTGAACATTATTTGTTTAAAAATGATAATGTTTTTATCGCGATAGACTTTAAACTGAGCCAAGTATGATCCAATGTCGTCTGTACTTTGTCGGGACCAATGACATGGCCCGGTTTGCGGGAGTGGGGGAAGTGGCGTGATCCAGAGTGACGTCATGTTCACTACATTCAATAACTGTTTTCTGGTGTTTGAATGAGAATAAAGAAACCGACCTTACCAACAGAGCCACATCCAAGCAGTATTTTTTTTTGTTTAACCAAGTTTTTATTCACGAAACAATCAATATTTACAATATTTACAAACCTTAAAAACTAGTATAAAAAACAATGGTTCTATGAATACTATAATATCTAATATGTAAACTTTGGCCTATAGAGGCTCTCGAGTTTATTAATTATTTTGAGTTTGAATTACTTTAATTTTAACAGTCTTTTTCATTGGGATTTATGCATTATTTTTTTGCAATGGATATTAATATTTTTTTAGGTGCTTAAAAAAAATTTTTTTTTTATTCGCGGGGGGGGTCCGTTTATACTTGCACGATTGTACATATCCCCGACTGTGCATAGACTTGTGAAAAGTCTAAGGGAACAACTGTACATAAATTCAACTGCACATAAAAAACAACTGTCCATGACATCATCTGTCCATCAACCTTGCGGTCGGCCAAACAGTGTTGGTAGAGTAGAAATTGGATACGTTTTATTTGCAGTCGATGTTAATTATGGATGGCGCCATGTGTCGCACTATTGGGACCCCTAATTACCGATGGCGGCGCTCGTTTTCACCGATTTGGACAATTTTAGGCTGCGCATTGTATA